CTTCAGCCTCCTCTAACTACACACACGCACACTCAGCATGTAGCTCGTTATAAGCCAATGCTGCTGGGCTCTATTTGTGGGCGGGGTATATTAGTTAGGGCTTCTTAAAGGTTGGGTGGGGGGGCTTTGGGTCGTCAACGCTCTTTCACACACATAACATAAAAATTTGTTGTTGTAAATCTGCTCAGCACTTTGTGCGTGAGAGTGGCACAGTTTAATAGCAACACACAAACACAAGCACACACACACAGGCGCACACACAGGCGCACACACAGACACACGCACACACACTTAAATACAGCGCCGTACACATAATCTGTTGTGTAATGTCTTTAGTTGTGTCAACTGTGCTGCATGTTGTGCCACAACAGCAAAGTGTGGAAGGGAGAGGGTAGTAGAGGGAAGGGTTGGGGAGTGCGTATAGAGCTGGAGTGGCACCCCTATACAAAGCATTGTCCAATGTACGTTGTCTGCAGAGGCAAAAACAGATTCTGAGTGAGTGCGAAAAATGGCAACATGCAGCGCAACCCGCAGCCCGCCCGCCCACTCCCTGCGCCCCACAACAGTTGAAGTTTTGAAACAACATTTAGATAAATTTCCCCAGAGAGAAGGCCAAAGTGTTGCGACGAAAAAAAAATTAAATAAAGCTAAAGGAAGCATATAACAATAACAATTGGCGATTGCATCTGCAAATGTTGTTTATAGGGTGCGTTAGCTACTGAAACCTTTCCAACATCCTGAACACATTGATTTCCAAATGAAAAACAAACTTGGACCTAACTAGAATTCATGCATTTGATTTCAATTGCATCCCCTTTTGCTGAATTACTTCAATTTAATTAACTGCGGGCGTGCATGAGTTATAATTTAAAAAAAGTTAAGTCATTCATTAACTGAAACCTCTTAAATTCCGTTTTTGCATATAAAAATGCATTGGACTTTAATCAACTATAATTGAATTTAAGCGCCAAATGTTCAATTATAATAATTTGTTGTTAATTTATTCGAATAGGAATTATCTGCCCATATATATATATATGCCCATATATATATATATAATCCGGTATAACCCGGCCTTGCCCGTGGCACGTATGTGATAAAATCAATGTTCTCAAAAAAATTTGAAATAATTTTGAAAGTGATCGGACGGTAAACAAACAACTTTTATACAGACGATTTCCGCGAATTTACAACTGTTGCGAGTGGAATTTCCCAATTCGCTGAAATAAGTATTTATTAAGTTCTTATGTAGAGCTTTGAAAATAAGTTTGAAGCAAATCGGACACAACTTAAAACTTCGCTCAAAAAATCTTTGAGTCGCATTCCACCCGAAAAAGTTTGAATTCTGCGAAAAGAAACACGTCTCAAATGATTTTTCTGACAGATATATAGATCACCCACCAAATCTTTGACCCCCATTTTCAACAAGGAGGAACGGATTTTTCGAAAATTGTGAAACACCCATCAAATGAATTTGAACAAAGATCTTTGAAAATAAGTTTGAGGCCGATCGGATCGTAAACAAAAAAGTTACATACAAACGTTTTTCGCGATTTTCCACACTTGCGGGTGGAATTTCCCGAAACCCCGTCTTAACGTGCACCTACATCACATAAGGTAGCTACAGTGAAAATTTCAGCTTCCTAGCTCTTACGGTTTGGGCTGTGCGTTGATCACCAATCAGTCAGTTAGTCAGTCAGTCAGTCAGTCAGTCAGGACAAACAGTTTTATATATAGCGATATATAACTCGAAACCACCCGCAAGCGTGGTTAATTAGTGGTAAATGGTTGTGGCAGCTTTATGACGTTGAACCAATTGTCTGCAAAATCGTTTTTTATACAAAATCTCATTGGAGTGTTATCGAATGTTAACGAGTTATATAACCTAGGCCTTCGAATCGAAAAAAAATAATAAAAAAATCATTTCAATAGTTTTTGACGTAACTTAAAAATGTAAAAACCACGTAAAAAAGTTAAGACAATTTCTAAAACTATTTTCTTAATTTTATTCATTTATTTGTAAGTTGACTGGAGATCACTAAGTGTGGCCAGGTTGTTCGTATACCTAGTTGAAGAACCTGGTTCTATCATCAGCTAAGTTTGCTATCGGCTTTAGACTTGCAAGGCCTTATCCAGAGTCCGAAGCTATAACCGCTTGAGAATTATTAGCTACAAAAAGTAAATCTCAAAGGGGTTGAAGGACTTAAACAACGTGCTGATATGCTAGATTTACATTATAAATAGGATCCCATTTTAGGTATAGAACATACCTTCCTAATTTAAAAACCCTTTGAAAGCTTATAAAATGGCCACTCTGTCTTTATTAGTGCCTTATTTGAAATAGACAAACAGAAGTTTATTTAAATGTGTTTAATTTGAAGTAAAGTGCTCTAGCGTGACCTTTTCCAGGTCATATGTTGTATGCTTTTAATGCACATGCCATATTGCCTTAAAACAGTCCCTTCCCGCCCCCTGCATCATACCCCCCCTTCCACTTATCAACCATTGAGCTGAAGCTCGTAATGGGTGGAAATGTTTGACTTCGTTCACTCGGAATAAGTAAGAGCTGCTCAATTTGGCCGCTCAACTATGTACTTGGTGGTTTTGTCATTAAGCTATTATGTTGTTGGGGGTCATGCGGTTGCCATTGGCATGGTATTTCGTTGCTTGTTTTGATGGCATTGCGTTTTTCCAGGAAAAGCCAACGACACGTGCTAGACCGACTGGAGCAACGGAATAGAAAACACTATACAACCAAATTGAGCAACATTTGTGGCATAGCAGCTACGAAAACTTTTGCCAAAAATTTCATTCAGCTAAATGTCAAGACATTAATATTCAAGCCATAAAACCAGGGACCAGCACCCTCTCTTACTACCCCCCCCACACTCAACACACACACAAACACATATTGCTGGAATTCGAAAAGTGTGTTTCGACTACTTCAGCGCTCCGACAGCTCAATGTGGCCGACTGGCAAATAATATTTAATTAGAGAATTGTTTAGACAAACTTTTTAATTACGTTCATCGTTGTGTGCGCGTGTGTGTGTGAGTGTATGAGAATGTGTGCGCGTGTGTGTTTGCAAGTTATTAAGCGACCCGCATAAATCTTCAGATGTAGCTGGCGCTTCCAATTTTCGTGAAAAATGCACGCTCGACTGAGCGCCTCGTGCAACGCCCACTTGTCTGTGCCGCCCACCAAACAGGATGCATGATGCCAGCCACGACACGCCACGCCCCGCCGCCCTCCTCCACACAGTGCTGCTTGACAGCCGGGACGAGCTGTGACCGTCAGCTGCATACATTTTAAGCGACAGCAGCATTAAAGTCAACATTTTGCCAGTGGCCTACATTCAAGCGGGTGAAGGGGGAAACGGGGGAAGCGGGAGCACAGTTGGGGCACGGAAACTGGTACGGGAGCAGGCGCTGCTGTTGCCGCTGCTGTTGCCGCTGCTGTTTCTGCTGCTGGGAGCGTCCTTTTAGCATAACTGCCTCCGCCTTTCGCTTTCGCTGACATTTTGATGCGCTGCATACACACACACACACACACCCACGCAGTCACACACGCACAACTACTTATGCCATGTGTGTGTATCTTTATGTAGATGAGTTGGCAGTAACGTGTAGAAAATTATGAAGATGCATTTTTATTTGTCCGTTTTTTATCTATATATACTTTTACTTTTTTTTGCTGCCAAAACTAACAAAAGACAAGTAAAAGTGCACTAGTCGGCAGTGTACAACTACGCGATACCCTAAACGCCAAGCTAAGCTAGCTTTACAGCCATAAACATGCCAAACAGACGGTTAAAGATAAGGATATATATACTTTGTGGGGTCGCTGATGCTTACCCCTGTCTGTTACATACATTTGCTCAAAACCGATATACACCGTTCAATGGGTTCGGGGTATAAAAAACCTCTGAGAAGCTCAAAGAGCGTCGGCGACAAAGAGACGAAGGGACAGACACAGCGTGCGCCACTTGCTGGACAGCAGCTGCTGCTGGCAGACAGCAAAATGAACAGAAATTCTGTGAAAAATTACCTTTTGAATACATACAGCTAAAATGTTGAATAGCCGCTGTGAAAAGCGACTAAATGAAAAGGAAAAAATTTAAGAACGATTTCTAAAGGCAAAAATTAATCTTTAATTAAGCGTGCAGATAGCAGACAAATGGGTATAAACCTGGGCAATAATTAATTACTTTAAACTGATATTCTCATAATAAAAAAAAGGTGTTGAGTAGCAAAAAATGTGTTTAGGGAAAAATAGGAAAAAATATTTATAATTAAGTTTGAAATTAAAGTAAATTACTTGGAATTTATTTTAAAAAGCAAAATGAAATGCATTGAATAAGCTAGAAGTGCATTCAGAATTTATTTATAAATATATATTATTATATTTAAAATATAGTTGACTTATAATATTCAGCATTATTATTTACTAATTTTATGCACATTATCTATAAAATAAAATTAAGTTGTTTTAATTATTATTTTTACACAAATTTTAAAGAACTTGCAACAAATGACCCATCATAATCAGCTGTGAATCGTGCTGTAAACTGTTTTCATAGTTAATTAGATAAGCGGCAAATACAAATACAATGATGCATTTTAGAGATATATGTGAGATATATGTATTGTGGCATTGAATACAAATTGCAGCGGCCAGTGGCATGTGGCAAGGCCAATTGGGGGTACTAAGTCCGAAAATGGCGTAAGTTGAGATAATTAATTGAGCGCAAAACTAAACACGAAAGCAGCAAAAGCAATTATCTACAATAACACAGGGACACACATGCAAGGAAGCTGGCCACGCCTAACACACTAACACACACACACACACACACAAACACACGCAGACATACACACAGACACACATCGATAGGGCTAAGTAGAGTAAATCACTTGGCATTTAGCAGTAGCAAATAAATCGATTCTCGACTACTATTAACGGTACATTAAAAACCCTGATTGCCTTTTGTTTCATTCCAGATAATTGCGCCTGAAATACAGACACACACCACTCAGCCACACAAATCCAAAGGATACGAAATTGGCCTCAAACTGACAGATGTTGTTTTTCAGCTGGAATAACAACTTTTCCGCGTGGGTCAATGTGTGCGGCCTTCGGAGTGTGAAGAACTAAATAAGAGCTTACTTACAGCGCAGCCAGTGGAGAGCTCATAAAACTAAAAGAGAGAAAATAGAAGACAAACTAAAACAATAACAGGCACAAATAAACAATCGTATGCAAAAATTATGAACAGTCGTCAAAGTGCGGAAGTGTGAAAAGTTTGCGCAATAAAATTGGCAATAAAATCGAAAAAAAAAACCAAAACAACCGTCCCATAAAAGAACGCCGACTTTTGCGATATACTTGTATATCTACAAATATATATGCACAGCAAATAATTTTTATTTGTCAAATTATTTGCGCGTAAAATTTCGTCGACGTGCGCAGAAATCAAGAGTGAAACAAACCGAGTGGCAAAATCTTTAACATTCACCAAAAACAACAGAAGTAGAGATTTTTTTCGGTTAGGTGTTAAATGCGTTTACATATCTCTGACGCGGCAATTGCCGCCTTCTTCAGTGCAGCGAAATAGAAGTAAAAGTGAAAGTGCCGAGATTCGCATTATTTCTGCGTAGGTGAACACATTTATCAGAGCTCTCAGAGAGGGACAGGAGCGCAGCATGCGCTTGTGGAAAAATCGATCAAAAATGCGAATAGCCGCAATTGGCAGGGTGCCCACCAGCACCACCATTACCAGGAGCACCACCAGAGCAACACATCGCTTCAAGCAGCTGGCACAGTTACTTATTGGCGGCATTCTCTACATGACAATTGGTAAGTTCTCGAAAGGAAAAACAATCTTAATTTGAAATATTTAAGACAATTGTGCTCTGGCCTGCAATTAACATTTCAAGTTGCGTTTACCCAATTAGCTGATTAACTCTTTTTGTTAATTAGGAAAGTGGCCAAAAATGCTTTTGGGTTAATTAATCAAATTAAAAGCTTTTATTGAGCTCAGATAACCCGAAAACTTTGCAAATTCTGCTTGAGCGCGACTTATATATTTATTAAGGGTATGCCGCAAACTTTTTCGCGACTGATGAAAAGTAAAATTAGTAATTAACTGATTTATTTAAGATTTGTCTGAGCAAGTGCTTACCTGCTGGTGTTACCCGTCTTTGCACAGGAAAACTTAAAAAAAATATATATTTTTCATAGATTTTTCATAGATTTTTCATAGATTTTTCCTATTATTCTTAGTCAGCATCGGTTTAGGCTTCAATTGTATATATTTATAAATTTTACTATATATAAATACGAACTCATTTATTATATAGGTCGTGTCAGCAGAACCCATAAAAGCTGCAGATACTTACGGTTCAATTACAGCTTCAATTGCAGATACATGTGTATATAAGTGTGTGTATGTGTAATTATCATTAAAAATGAATGAGTGCCTGTCGGCCAAATGTTGTAATATCGACTTCAGTCCTAAAGGGTCGCAGCTGATATTGTTGTTGTTGTTGTTGCTGTAGAGCAATTGTGAATGAAGCAATTTACAAATTTACGATTGTTAGCGGCGCAATTCAACAGCTGAACACAAAAAAAGATTAAAAAAATATGAAATTAACAGCAAAAAATACAATATAATAAATTTGCAGAAAGTCGCAATTGAAATACTCTTTCGGTATAAATTGAAAATTAAATAAATAAAATTAAGTTTGTGCTTCGCTTTTCCATGCCAACTTTAACGGAGAGATAAATGTTATTTGATGAAAATATGCACGTTGGATTCAATTCAATTTTCACCTACTAGCTGTTACAAACAAGCTTACAAATTAGTTTAACCGTTTTGTAGGGGCAAGTGTGTGGGCGCAGCTGGCTGCATAAATTGGTTTTTTGTTCAACACGCATACGCCCTGGGGGCGCTCGCCGAGCTGCCAGCTGATTTTTTTTTTCTGATTTTCTCGCTTGCATTTGCCACGTGCTCTTATGCAAATAATCGCATTCACTCGTACGTGCACTTCATGTCAAAACAGTTAACTCACTTAGTCAAGAGGCTGCCAATTTCCACTCGCTGGCAGCCGTTGGTTTAATCACAGCTCCATTTAGCCTAAAATTGCTTTAACTATGGCAAATAATTGATTTTATTTAAAGCATAAACGATTTTAATGAAGCCCGACAGCTTTTCGCTGGAAAAGTTTTCGGAGTGGAAATTAGAATGAAAATTAAAGGAAATTTTTTCGATTTTCTGATTTTGCTTCATTGCTTCTATAAGCAGCTATTAGCGTACTTTTTGCTGTCTTCACAGACTTAAAGGGAAGGGAAGAGGGGAGCCCCACATCAACAAGAAAAGTGAAAAAAGTGAAAATGCAAAACATGAAAACATAATTCATGAGCTCGGGCAAAATGTTGAATTGTAAATGATCAGGCGCTGGCAGAGGGTAGACAAAGAGGCAGCCATCGGCAAGGCAAAACTTTAAGCCAACGCAAATGAGCAGACAAATATGCGACAGAGAGGGAGCGAGAGGTGGAGACGAGCTCGAAGTTGGCCAACTGAGGGGCGGCCATAAAAAATGCTGTTGGATTTTAATGCCATAACTGGGCTTGTTGTTCGTGTGAGGGTAAAAAACTTTACAGTTGACCCAGCCCCCAACTAGTAGCTCGACTTATATCGTGCTTATAAAATATCTTTATTGATTTTTCTCGCTGTGCATGGCTTCAAGTTCTTTGCGTTTTACAGCAAATTTACTGGGCGCACAGTTGGGCCCGGTGCCCCGCTGCCCCGCAGCTTCATTGACTTTTACCTCTGCCTTGGCGCTGGGTGTAAGATTGATTTATTTACCATTCCGTTTGGTTTTATTTTTAAACATTATTCATAACTTTTTCCGTGCGGCTGCGGCTTTGTTGTAATTTATTTCTGAGCAGCGTCAAAATAAATTGAACGAAATTTGTAAGCATTTAAAAATGATTTGCATGCGAGGCGGGCAACTTCTTAGCCCACAATTGGCACTCGTATCTCGGCCAACTAAGAACTAAGAGTTTGGGCACACTTAAGTGCTCTAAAAGCGCACGTAATGCGCGTGGCTAGCCCTAAAGTTGTGTTACGTAGTTACGTTACCATATAGTCTGTCTATAAATTATGGCAATAAAAATAAAATCAGCAACGCTTCGCTTTGGTTTTTGGCCAGCTTAACAATTGTTTTTATTTCATTTGCTCTTTCTTTATTTTTTTGTTGGCTGCGTTTTACTTATGGAATTTATTTATTTTTATTTATCTTATTTTTGTTGTGGGAAAACTTTTCACTTTCCTTTTTAGCTTGGGACATTATTTTTCTGCTTTTATTTCCATCCGTTTTGGGTTTATTGCAGTTTTCAGCTGTCGCAGTGGCTGTCTCTCCTCTCCCTCCCTGCCGATCCTACTGTTCCACTTTCCAATGCCACTCGCACATTTTTCCGCCGAAATAAATGTATAAAAAAAATATTCGTTTCCAGTTCCGTCTGCCATTTTCACGAGTTTTCCTTCTGCAGCATAGAAAGAATTTTGCGCCGTTGCCTTTTGCTACTTTGGCTTTTGTCGGCGCACTTTATCCATTGCGTTCGCGCATTTTCCCACGGCTCCCCAAAAACAGTGCGGCAGAGGAAAAAGAAAAACTCAAAACAATGAAATGAAAAATTATAGCTGGCACCCGCCGCACTTACATCTCGCCCTTGCAGCTGCTTTGTCAGTGTAAATGTGTTTTTGCCATCAATTTTTATTGCAAGCAGAGTGTATCAATAAATTTTACAGCAATGTGCGGATTTAAAAGCAGAACTGCATTGGCTTTTTCCTCTTCACATGTGGGCGGGCTACACACACGCACAAGCACACACACATGCACACACCCTGTCAGCACCTTATGGGCCATTGAATTGGTTTATGACATTCGGAGTTGGGCATAAAATGCTCTTTCGCATTGTGGCTCAATTGGCCTTCGATGATGTCGTCTTTAGGCCATGATTTCCAACTGTTGATTGCCATTTGCTTGGCTAAGAGCCTTAGCATATGTAGCAATTAGCCCTAATTGGCTTATAAAATGCTCCACAATTGACAGTAAAAAGTGCTATTTCCAGTGTTGAAAAGAGCTTTAGCAGTGGAATTCCCTATTCATTTAGTTAAATTCCGCTATCAATATACTTTGTATTTTCATATAATTGAGATTAAATTAATTTGTATACAAAAAGTATGCTTAACACTTGTCAAAGGCTGTCAATATTTGATGCTAGTGCTGTAAAATGCCATAAAATAGATATCATGCCTAAACCTATCTGCTGAATTTATAGCATATAAGCAAAACAAAGCGCTCATAAGTAAAAATCAATATGCTTTATATCAAAATTAATGGAGTTGCACTCACCCACACACACACATACACAGCAGCATGGAAAAAGTGTTGACAGCTGCTTTTATTCACCTGTCAGACACAGAAGCCGCTAAACTGTTGATAAGAAGACAGAAGACAGAACCGGCAGCTGGGTGTCAGAGCGTGTGCTCCAGCACCGGCAACTATGCATCCGGGTATCACCCAGTTATAACCAAGGGCTGGCAAAGGGACAAGCGAGTCCCGTGTCCAGGCCATCAGCAGGGAGCTGCGACTGAAGCCAGAGACAAGCGTTGTGACAGCACAGCCAATAAAAATCCTTCACAATCATTTATCAATAAGTTTCAGAGCAGGACGATGGCGATAGAAGGCGCCCAACCCATCAACCGCCCTTAGGGAATGGCTTTCTGAAGTTGGAGCGGGGCATGAATTACATGAGAGCGTGTATAAAGTATGGAAATATCAAATAATCATGTATAAGTGCTGCACAAAATATGTCAGCTTCTAGGGGAGGAAACGAAAAAAATGAAGAAAAACGTTATCAAGCCTGAGCAGTCCGAACATTGCTGGACTGTGGACTATGTCGGACTCTGTGTAAATGTCACAAAGTTCGAGCTATTATAAATGACATAGGATGTCGCTTGACAGTGAAATATATATTGTGAAGTAGCCGATAAAAACAATTGACAGTGGACTGATGTTAGCATATAACTATGCTAAGCTAGGCCAGCTTACGAGTAGGAAATGAAACTCTTTAATAGATTACAGCATTATATAGAACAACTGAACATTTTCAAGTTTAAAATATGACATTTATACACATTTTCTTTTCGCCTAAACTTAAACATGAATTATTTATGTTAAATATAATATAAATGATATATATAATATAAATAATATATATATAATATATATATGATATAAATGATATGTATGATGTATATGATATGAATGATAAATATGACATATATGATATAAATAATAAGTATATGATGTATATGATATATATGATATATCTTATGTATACGATATATATATTATATGATTATAATTTTTCAAGTATTAAATGATGGCAAATATAACCGATATTACTTTTGCCTAAGCTTAAATGTGAGAAAAGTCTTAATACGAATTTTATAAATATATTTAATTGAATATTAAAAGCCCGCAATTTCGTTGGTTGCTTCAAGAAAATGTTCTCATCTAGTTAAATATTTGTCATAAATATTTTCATTTAATTAGCTCAATTATTCAGTGGCATTCTTTTATCCACTTTAACTTCAAACTATGAGAGGGGGAATACTTGTAAGTATTTAGGGCTGCATTTCTTAAAATTAGATTAAATATTCCAGAACTTCTTGGGGTGCCAAACAAGTGTACTTAGTAAAATTAACAATTTCTAATAGGCCTTAAAAAGTGTATAAAAAGTGTAAATGTTTGTCCAAAATTAGGTTCTTCTATTTTTGACCATCT